TTCCCTGCAGAAAAGGAGGGGGGAGAGAGGGCTTGGCTGCAGAGCCTGCCTCTCTCCTCTTCCCTCAGGGGCTGTGAATCTCTTCCTTCACAGCACACACTCCAAATGCTGCCACTTAACTCTGCCCCAAGCAGAGTTGGGGGGGCTGCAGGGCCCCCCTCTTCCCCCCGGAGGGTGAGAGAGAGAGAGCCCAGCCACCTCCTGGCCTTCAACACCTACACACAGCAGACACCAACAGCAAAACAACCAAGACAGGACTGCCAACAGCTTCCCGTGCTGTGCTCTATGATTTTGAGCAGAAGCAAACAACATGAGTGGTGACTGGCTCTCCAGGGAACACTGCCCTGGCACCCAAACACCTCTGAGCCTCTCAAACTCTCAAGGGGAGCCAATTTCAAACTATGACACCTGCAAAACAAGAGCTGCTGCTTGGACACGTTTAGTTACAGCTATTAGAGTGTCAATAGCTCCAGTTTTCAATTTCATTTCTGACTCAACTTTCCCAGTCCATCTCTTCCTAGCACAGGTTTGGGGGAGTTTGGCAAACAGACAAACTGAGGAATCACCCAATGTTTTCCCAGTTTGACCCCTGTCACACCAATCACCTGAACACGGCCAGCCCTTCATTCTCCCTCTCTTGGGTTAAGGACTGAGCAAGTTGGACCTGTGTCTGAGCAGGACAGGTGCAAACCAAATGCTGGGGACTGGAACACACACCTGGCACTCCTGCAGCTCTCACAGTCACATTCCAGAGAAAACAGCCAATTGGACCCTCCCTGCTCATTTCTTAATCCCAATCCCACACTTCTTTGGCACTTGGAGCACCACTTTTATCACCCAATTCCAGCCCATTAGAGAGCTCCCTGTCTAGCAGGGACAGGGACCCCTGGGATACTCTCAGCAATGCCTGAATCCATGGCAGGGACCTTGCTTTGAGCTCCCCAGGGCCGGGCACCCCGAGGATCTCCCCGAAGAATCCTTTCGGTGCGCGCTGGAGTCCTCGGGGTGCCCCAACCCGGGGGGCACCCACAGCACTGTCCCTACAGGGGGCCAAGTTGGTCCTAAACTGCAGGGGGATCTTGCCTGTGTCCCAGACTGGTCCGGGGATCTGAGGCCCTTCCCGAGAAAATCTCGGTGCCGGCGTGAAGGGCCAGAGATCCCTTGGAGCCACGGGAGAGCAGGCACAGAGTCCCTCCTGGGGGGCAATTCTGCTGCCTGAAATCAGCTCTTCAGAGAAGCCTCTAGGACTCAGCTGGTGAGTTTTCCAAGCCAGGCATTCCTTGCTTACAACACCCTGCCATGATCCCAGCCCCACGGGGGTCCTGGCAATCAGCTCCCAAAGGGCACACGGAGGGGTCTCCACTGCAGCTGATGGGAGGGGTCACCATTACAGGAGGGTTCATTTTCCTTCCCTGCATTCCTGTTCCACATTCAGGACATTCCCAACACCTGATCCCACATACACAAACCCTTATAAGGTCTCTGAGGGGCTCCATCGGGGGTCTCTGGTGGTCACCTGTGCCTGCAGCCCCCAAAGTTCTCAGTGACCACCTTAGCAACTTCAACACAACTCACCTGGTTGTAGAGGAGCTTGGTGCTGCTTGGCTGCTGCCTCAGTTCCCTTCTTCATTCTTTCTTGCCTTTGCTTGCTCAGTCCCTTGAAGTTCCTTGGCTCAGCTCTCTGCAGTTTATAGGGAACATCCCACTGCAAAAACTACCAGTTCTTGGTACATCTCCAAACTCAGATATCAGGGAGTGAGGCAGAAATCAACTAATTCAGGGCACTGCCTACAAATATTGGGACAAAAATACCATAACATTCCATGGCCTCCCTTGGCAAATCAACCCCAAACTGCTCAGACACAAACAATAACCTGCACACCACAACAATCTGGCACTGCTGGTTCAACCCGGCCAAGTCAGTTGGGAAATGACACAAGGTCAACTTTCTTCCAAGTTTCAGTTATGATACAACAATCAGGGAGATCACAGACTCCCCTGGACAGTTTTACTCTGAGGAGAGAAGGAAACCAAAGCCATCCCCAGGGCTGCAATAGCTCAGGCTCCCAAAAAGGCCCAGGGGCTTCAGGTTTCTGAGGGGCTTCACCGAGGGCCTTCCCAGCTCTGCTCTGTCTGGAGCCCTCCAAGTCCTCAGGGCCTGCCTGAGGAACCTCAGCACAACTCACCTGCTTACACAGCAACTTGGTGCTGCTTGGCTGCTGCCTCACTTCCCTTCTTCTTTGTTTCTTCACCTCCCTTGCTTGGTCCCTTTCAATCCCTGGGCTCAGCTCTGGGCAGTTTCCAGGCTCCATCCCACTGCAAAAAGGATTAGCCCTTGTTACATCTCAACACTCAGATAGCATTCCCCCTTTTGCCTTGACACTGGGCCATCAGGCCAGGGTCTCCTTATTTAAAGCACAGTTTGACTCCTCAGTGACAACAACTGACAGCCCTGAATCCTAACACAGGCTGAGACACAAACACGGAGGGGAACTCTGAAGGATCCACTTTGTTCTGCTCACCAAGCAAAAGGAGCTTTCTGAACTCAAGAATAACATACCCCAGGTCCTTTTACTGCAATTTTACCTGCTATAAATGGGATCCACAAGACCTGCAAAGGCCCTTCCCCCTTCCCCTGCAGGGCTGGCAGTGCCACCACTGGACACGGACCCAGGGGCTGGGCAGGAACGGAGGGGCTGGGGCGTCCAATCCATCGGCCCAGGCGGCACCAGGAGTTCCTGGAGTTCCTGAGGGGAGAGCCTCAAGACAACAGAGGATTAGGAAGACCATTTTAAACTTTAATAGGCATATCTCCTGGAATACGGGGACTTGGACAAGGCCTGCTGGGGCAACAAGGACACGCTCAAGGCTATCTATTCAAAGGATCTACCAGCACTCAAAAGCTGTCACTGTCCTTCTTTCAGGGGCAACTCAGGAAACTCTGTTGGCCAAGAGCCTCCAGGAGGATTTCCAGCTTTTGGGGCTCCCTTTTAATTATTTTTCCCATCACTGTAGCTGGGACTATCACCTGCCCTACAGGGGGAACAGCCCACAAAGTTCACTTGCAGGGATGCCATTAACTCAAAGTCCCTTCTCAGGGGGGTCACTGCACACCTTGGCCTTTCTTTGCCCTCCCCACCAAAGATGCTTCCAACACTTCTGAGACATCTGGCAGACCCAGAGCTCTCCTCAGGGAAGGCTTCAGCTGCTTAAAGGCTGCCCTTGCACCATCTAGCCAAGGCAGCAAATGCTTACAGGCTCTTGGAAAAGTTGCCCTAACAGTCTTACCACACATGCAGAGGGAGCAATCCAGAGTCCAGCCCGTCCCACCATTCCCAGGGAGGCAGTTCAGGGGCTGTTTGGGGCTCAGGGAGGAGTCACGGGGCTTCTCTTCTTCCTGCCCGCTTGCCCCAGTTTCTCCTGCAAAAGCAAAGCTTTCTTGGCTTTCCTTGCTCAAGGACATGCAGCCAAGGCCATCTTTGCAATCTAATCCTGGAAACTGCTCCAGGTTGTCATTTCAGGGGTTCTCTCAGGTCCTGCACTAATCAATCCCCTTGGCCATTGGTTTCCTTGGCAGGTTCTTACATTCACCTTCTACAAGCAAACCAGGAGGAGCAAATTCAGCTGTTCCTGCAACCAATCCAGTCTGGCATTCTGATTTTAAAGGATACTGGCTTGGCCTTACCAGGAGAGATCCCACACCAGGGGTAATACCTACAGGTTCTGCCCTCTTCCACTCTCCTGCAGTTCCACTGGCCCACACCACAGGAACAGCTGCAGCTGCCACTTCAGTCGGGGCCTTGCTGCTGACAGGAGTTATTCCCTGCACAACAAGAGCTGCTGCTTGGACACATTGAGTTTCAGCAATTACAGTTTCTATATCTCCATCTTCCAGTTTCATTTCTGCTTAACTTTGCCAGTCAATCTCTTCCTAGCACAGGTTTGGGGGAGTTTGGAAATAGAGAAACTGAATAATTACCCAATGTTTTCCCAGTTTAACCCCTGTCACACCAATCACCTGAACACTGCCAGTCCTTCATTCTCCCTCTCTTGGGTTAGGGACTGAGCAAGTTGGACCTGTGTCTGACCAGGACAGGTGCAAACCAAATGCTGGGGACTGGAACACACACCTGGCACTCCTGCAGCTCTCACAGTCACATTCCAGAGAAAACAGCCAATTGTACCATCACTGCTCATTTCTTCTGTGCCACAGCAACATCATTCCAGGCCTCTCCCTACCAACCTTCCGCCTCTCCCAACAGCTCCAGTGGCAACACAACTTACCCTGAAGGCACAAAGGCTCCTTTTGGGAGCACCACGAGCCATCTAGACTCTAGCACTGGAATTCCATCTCCTGGACAAGCTGGGAGAAGCAGGGAAGAAAACCAGGACCTTCCAGGTGAACTGGGGGCACCTCTTCATCCAAGAGCAGCTCCAATAAAGGTACTGAGTCAACACCTCACCAAAGACACAGGAAAACAAGTGCCAACACCTCGACAATCACTCCAGTTTTCAACTGATAAAAGCAACACTAAAGAAAAGCTTTTCAGACACCTGGGAAGAGTCCATCCCACTTTAACCAGTTTGTGGGACTCGTTCCCAGCCTCCTGAGGTTCATTTCCCACCTCACTGGGGCTGCAGTACACCTGGTTCTACACACACACACAGGGAGCTGCTGCTCCTGCATTCCAGTCTCCTGGTTCCCCTTGCAACTCCTCCAGCTGTTTGCCCAGCTCTCCAGTGCCCATTCCTTTGCCCACTGCACTTGGTCACAGCCCCAGGGCTCCCAGGGCCACCCTGGGCTCTCCCCTGCCCTGACACTCAGGGCCCTTTCCCAGCCTGACTCCATCCAGCACTGACACAGCTGCTGCACCTGCAATTCTCCTGCTCCTGCCCTCCCTCTGCCTGCAAACACCCCTGCCAGCTCCTGCACCCCACCTCTTACCTCCCAGGAAAACACAGCTGCATCCTCCTGGATCCTCCAGCTGGATGCTGCTGGCTCTGGGCAGCTCCCACCCTTCAGCAGGGGATGCCAAAGGCAGCTCTGGGGACTGTCCCGAGGGCAGGGACACCCACTGTGGCTCACACCAACACTCAGCCATCTCAGGCCTGGGCTCTTCTGCCTGCAGGGCAACAAACAGCCAAGCAGGGACACTGGGACACTCCAAGGAAACAGGGACAACACACTCAGCAGCCTGGCACACCACAGCCCCCAAACCTGCCCAGGCTCCAGCTGCTGCACAGACCTGTGGCCACACAGGACCCAAACCCACCCCCAGCACAGACAACCCTGGGCAGGTCAAGCTGCTCATTCCCAACCACAACCAAACATCCAGTGCCACTGTCTGCCAGCCCCTGCTCCCAGCAATCAATCATCTTTGTCATTTGCTTTCTCTACAGGTCCTTGCATTCACCTTCTACTATCAAACCATGAGGAGCAAACTCGGCTCTTACCTGGAACCAATCCAATTTGGCTTCCTAATTTTAAAGGATACTGACTTTGCCTTACCAGTACAGACTCTGGCTTAGGGGTAATTCCTACAGGATCTGCCCTCTTCCACTCTCCTGCAGTTCCACTGGCCCACACCACAGGAACAACTGCTGCTGCCACTTCAGTCGGGGCCTTGCTGCTGACAGGAGTTATTCCCTGCACAACAAGAGCTGCTGCTTGGACACATTGAGTTGCAGCAATTACAGTTTCAATAGCCCCAGTTTTCAATTGCATTTCTGCCTCAACTTCTCCAATCCATCTCTTCCTAGCACAGGTTTGGGTGAGTTTGGCAAAAAGAGAAACTGAGGAATCACCCAATGTTTTCCCAGTTTAACCCCTGTCACACCAATCACCTGAACAGTGCCAGTCCTTCATTCTCCCTCTATTGTGTTTAGGACTGAGGAAGTTGGACCTGTGTCTGAGCAGGACAGGTGCAAACCAAATGCTGGGGACTGGAACACACACCTGGCACTCCTGCAGCTCTCACAGTCACATTCCAGAGGAAACAGCCAATTGGACCCTCCCTGCTCATTTCTTAATCCCAATCCCACACTTCTTTGGCACTTGGAGCACCACTTTTATCACCCAATTGCAGCCCATTAGAGAGCTCCCTGTCTAGCAGGGACAGGGACCCCTGGGATACTCTCAGCAATGCCTGAATCCATGGCAGGGACCTTGCTTTGAGCTCCCCAGGGCCGGGCACCCCGAGGATCTCCCCGAAGAATCCTTTCGGTGCGCGCTGGAGTCCTCGGGGTGCCCCAACCCGGGGGGCACCCACAGCACTGTCCCTCCAGGGGGCCAAGTTGGTCCTAAACTGCAGGGGGATCTTGCCTGTGTCCCAGACTGGTCCGGGGATCTGAGGCCCTTCCCGAGAAAATCTCGGTGCCGGCGTGAAGGGCCAGAGATCCCTTGGAGCCACGGGAGAGCAGGCACAGAGTCCCTCCTGGGGGGCAATTCTGCTGCCTGAAATCAGCTCTTCAGAGAAACCTCTAAGACTCAGCTGGTGAGTTTTAGAAGCCAGGTATTCCTACACACTGTAAGATATTTTAAGAGCTTACTGACTGAAAACACATAAGGCTTTTATCATGGACATCTGAACTTTCACAGACAGCTCCTTTCCCCTTTCAGTACAAAATTATTTTCATAGTATCATTTAATAAGAAGTGCCCAGGAACCCCAGACCATGCTTTCCAGAACAGAAAATAAACAGAGGGAAGGACAAGTGTAACACACTCCAGAACAGACCTGACTTCAGTTTTACTCATTGTGTTCAAATACAGCAGACAAAAACTCCAGCAGGAGAGTGCTGGCACATTCCCAATGCTATCTTGAAAGTCCATCCTACATCTGCAGTAGGCAAGTTGGAGTCATAGAAGTCCCTTGTTCCTGCAGATGCCTGGGGATCCTCTCCATCCGCCTCGTGCTCTCCCAACAGGAGAAAGGGGGACCTCAGGGACACGGTGGCACTCGACATCCTGCTGAGAGAGCAAGGAAACCTTTTTTTTGCTAGAGAGCACAGCAACCCCCCTGTCCTTGCAAACTGCCTCCCTGCAAACAAGGAACCAGTTCTCCTGGACATTTCTCCAACACTCAAGGTCTTTTGAAGCTGCTCTCGTGGCACCAAACCTGCTCGGGGTCTCTCCCAGCTGTTGGCTCTCCGTGGAGTTAACAGGCACACACTCCATTCCCTCCTCCCCCAGCCAAACCCAATTCTCACCGGCAGGACGGGCCCTGCCCTTACCTGTCCAAGCTCCCAGCTCGGCACAGCCGTGGGGACAGAGCAGCTTCCCAAGGCAGCTCCCGCCCGGCAGGAAGCACAACTCGCCACACTCCACCAGCCGCTGGGCACGGACCTGAGCTGAGCCCCAGGGAGGGCACGGCTGGACAGAGAAGGAGCAAAGAGCATTAATGCAGCACCGAGAAACTCAGTGAGACCAGTCTTTGCCTCCTAACCCTGTACGTGGAAAGGCTTTGGAATTCCAAAGCAAAACCTGAGACACCCAGAGAGCAACAGCCCCGCAGCCCTGCCACGGCCCCCCCCGGTGGCACCCGGCAGGTAACGGGCTTACCCGGCCCCCGCTGCCCAGCACAAGGCGCCCCTAAACGCCCCCCGGCTCCCCCGGTCACAAACCCAGCGGCCAAGGCGCTCTCCCCTCCGCAGCCCGGGCAGCAGCGGGGCCGCACCCTCAGCCCTCACACGCAACCGCCCCCACCCGCCCCGCCGGCCCTTTATACCGCGGGCCGGCAGCGCTGCCCAATCAGCGCTCGAGCGCCGCCGCCCAATCCCAGCCCGCCCGGCCCTGCGGCCCCGCCCCGCCCGCTCACCCGGCCCCGCCCCTCTGCGCGGCCCCGCCCCCCGTTCCCTCAGCGCGGCTCCCGCCGGGGCCGGGGAAGGGCGGTGGGAGCTCCGCGGTCACGGCCCGGCCGGGAGCTCTCCCGGGACAAGGGGAGCGGGGCCTGCGGGGACAGCGGCCTTCTTGGGGACGGGCAGGGCGGGGCCGGACGGGCCGGTGCGAGCCAGGGGGGCGGGTGGAGGGGCGGGGCCGGGCGGGGCGAGGGGCGGGGCCGGACGGGCCTGGGGGCGGGCCTGGGGGCGGGCCTGGGGGCGGGCCTGGGGGCGGGCCTGGGGGCGGGCCTGGGCGGGTGGAGGGGCGGGGCCGGCGCGATCCCGCGGCGCTTCGCTCTGGGCTCTGGGGCTGCTCCGGGCGGGTTTTGGGGCACTGCGCACACCCTGCCCTGGTCACAGCCCCGCCCCAGCTCGCTGCACTCCCCGCACCCCTCGCTCAGCTCCGCGGGGATTTGTGCCTCCTCCGAAGGTGGCAAATGTCCGCAAAGCCAGTCGGGAAGCCAGAGAGCTGCAGCCCCCGGGCCCCGCCGCGGCTTCCCCGCCCTCCCCCGGCCCCTCCCGCCCGTCCCGCCCCGCAGCGCCGCTCCCGCTGCCGCCCTCGAACCCAAGGAACGACCCCCGTGCCCCCAGCACAGGCCGGTCCCTCCCCGGCAGCCTCGGCACCGCCGGGAGCGGCCGCAGCCCCCAACGCCGGGCGGGGCCGCGCGGGGCGGGGGCGGGTCCCGCGGCTGCGACCCCGCGGGGAAGGGACCCCCGGGCCGGCCCCGTCCGGCCCCGCCGCTGGCCCTGATCGGGCACCGCCCCTCGCCCACAGTTTTAACATTAGAGAGCCAAGTTTAACCCAGAGCCTGCAAGCTCCCAAGTGCAGGGCATGGCCACAGACTTGTTATTTTTCTCTTTTTAATGACCGCGTTGCCAAAGTGGGGGAAACACAATCAGCATTACCTAAACAGCATCACAGCATCTCCAGGGCACAGAGGGACCGCCGAGAGGGGGCTGCCCTCGCCGGTGCCTGCTGCCGCCCACGAACCTGCCGCCCGCGCCCTACGCCGCCGATCGCCCCGCCCTGTCCCCACAGCGGGAAGCGGCGCGGCGAGACGGCGCTGCGGGCGCGGGGCGGGGATCCGGGTCGGGGCGGAGGTCAGGGAACAGGTAGGACGCCTCTCTGAAGCAAGGGGGCCTCTCACCGCCATCTTTAGTGTGGTTTCGACTAAATTCCGGTCCTGGCGGCGCCATCTTTACTGTGGGTTAGGGACGAACTTCCGGGCTGGGGTCGCCATCTTTTTGTACGGCCTTGGAGGACTTCCGGTCATGGCGCCGCCATCTTTCTTTCTGGGTAGCCTCGGACGAGGCTACCCAGACGAGGCCCCTCGGTCCGAGGGGCGCCATCTTTGGTGGTGCGCCGTCGAAAACAGTCCGGTCGCTCTCTACTTCCGGTACCCGACTTTATCCGAATTAGCGTCCCTCGCTAATTTCTGCGCTTTCGCCCCAAAAATCTTCACGTTATTCCCCCCACGCACACCCTGGGAGAGACGGAAGACCGCAAGTCCCGCCGTTCCGCCGGAATCGGCTCTTAAGTTGAGCGGGGAGCGCTGCAGCGGCACGAGAACCACTGCGCATGCGTCGCCGGTCCCCCTCCCGGCCGCCCTTAATTACCGTGTCATCGCCGGCGTCTTGCCAAGGACTGCGCATGCGCCGGCGTCGCCACCTTGGCTGCCCCCCCCCCCCGACGTTCCGGCTCCCCTCTCTCACTGCGCGCGCCTCGCCCGCTGTTCCGGGGCCCCTCCCTGACGTTTCGCGGCTCCCCCTCCGCTTTTGCGGCTCCCTGGGGTTCCCCCACCCACGTTTTGGGGTCCCCTTCTCACAGTTTAGGGGTGACCCCCAAGTTACGGGGCGGAGGGCGGGGCCGGGGGGGCGGGGAGTAAACGGGGCACCCAAGAAGGGGTTTTTTTTCTCTTTTATTTAATTTTATTTCCTTTTTAGTTTTCTTGCCTTTTTTTTAATGTTCTTTTCTATTTTTTCTTTATTTCGTTTATTTTTTGTTCTCTTTATTTTTCATTTTCTTTTCTTTCTCCTTTGGTTTTTATTTTTTTATTTCTTATTCTTCCAGAGAGGGAAACACTGCAGCTCCTCTGGGCCAGAGAAAGGCTCCCCTGCCCTTCCCTTAAACACAACGCCTGCAATGAGTACCCTGCAAGCCCGCTCTGCTCCTGCCAGGCACTGGGGCTCACCCAGAGGGGCTTTGCCAGCACCCAATGGAAATTAAAATTACAGCCTGGGCAAAGGCACTTCCAGCAGGACCGCTCCTGGCCAAGGCCACCGGGCTGTGCAAGTCAGACCAGTGACCACCCGGGGGGGGGGGATTTTCAGGGGGATACTTCCAGCTTTTATTCCCCAGAAACTCCAGTTCTTCCTGGCCCCGCTTGCTTCAGTCCTCCCCTGTTGGAAGAGGTCACACAGTCTTTCTGGGGGCCAGATTGCCAAAGCCCGGCCGGTCCATTCCCTCCACACCCCCGCGCTCAGGGGCCGAGGGGCAGCCCTGCCCCGCACAGACCCCGGGCTCGCCTTCAGCCCGTCTGTGCCAGGGCTGGAGCGATCCTGCCATCGGCCCGTGGCCACGAGGGGCACAGAAAGCCCAGGGCCAACAGCAGCTCCAGGCAGCTGCAGGCAGAGGTTATCCCTTCCCAGCTTTTTGGCAGTGGGGGGAAGGTGCCTTTCCCCGGCCGGCAGCGGCATCGTCCCCGCCGCAGAGCCCGCCCCGATCCTGGGCCGCCTTGGAGACAATTCCCCGTCCCAGCCCGCCTCCTGCAGAAAACTGTTCGGGTTGAATGCGTTCTTTGTTGTATTTTTAAATGTTTATTTTGTCGTTAAACTTCGTTATTATTCTCTCGAAAGCCCGGGGAAGGCGGCCACCCCCCCCCATCCCCACCGCACCCCCCGCCCCGGCCGGTCCCCGCCCCTGCCCTGCCCGGCGCTCGCCTCAGGCCCGGCCCGGCCAACGCCTCGCTCTGCGCAGGCGCCGCTTCCCAGCCCGCCCCGAGCGCCGGGCGCTGCCTCGCAGTCGCCGCCTGGCGGACACGGCCGGGAGCGGCACTGCAGCCGCGCCCCCCACTCACCCCCGAGGACCTGAAGGACTCCCGGAGCGCAGATTGACAAAAATAAACGTCCTGCAAGACCGACGTCGCCTTTCGGAAGTATTTCCTTCATTTCTGAGAACGATAAAGGGCCAAATCAACAATAAACGTTATTTCATCCCTTTGCCAAGAATAACCCTGCAGCTTGCCTTCCTTTCTGGGCTGACAGCAGACAGCTTGGATGCCCTGAGGTAAACATTAGACAGCTCTCTCCAACGTTTCTTAAAATCTCCTTCATCTTTCCCGTGGTAAAACCCACCCTTTTCATTGCATGGAGAAAAACCAAGCCAAACCAAACCCCACCACCTGACACGGGTCACAAGTTATGAAAGAGACTCCAAGCCACGGGAGGAAAGCTAACGAACAGGTGAAGTTTCAAGGAAATCCCACGTCTTCCAACATCCTGCTCATGTTGCCTACGCTGCCCCCGCATAGGACCCACTCCCAGGCATCTGCCCAGCAGCAGACACCACTGCTGCCCTCTCAAACAGCAGCACTTCAGCCACGAGCCACCACTGTTCCAAGAACCACAGCTGTAGATTGCCGTGCCCATCAACGGCAGATGTGGCAACTAAGCCATGTCCGCTGTCTGCTACCTGCCACACAGGACCCTCTTCTCTAAAAACAGCGGCTCAGCGGGCAGCACTGCCATTTTCCAGACACGTACTTACTCCCAGCAGTCAGGACACACTTCAGTACTTCACCAAGTCTGCGGGAGGACTTGCAGGGCCTGAAGGCTCACGCTAGGGTGTGGCACTCACGTGGTGTCTATGGAAACCATTCTGCTACTACGGAATGTTTTCTCCTAGGAAACACACCTATTACACAAGTTACACATCTGACCAAAAGGCAGCAAGTGGCCTCCAATCCCACCAATTGTCTTCTTGCTGTCACCACATCCTTAGCCTTAGAAGGCAGGGCGAAGTCTACAGCTGTTGGAGCAGTTCCTGGGAACGCCATAAAACACCCTTTCTTTGGACTGCCCAAGAGCAAGTGCTGAGGGCACCCCCCAGCTCCTGCCCAAACATCCTGTCCCGTCCCCATCCATGCCAGGAGCCCGCAGCCTTGGAAAACACACATTCCTGGGCTGCAGCTCCCAAGGGATGATGCAGCTATCCAAGCGCACGCCCGCGGGCAGGGGGGCACTTACCTGGGGGGCCGCCGGCCCCTCTGACTCCCCCCCACAGCAGCGCGGCCCCTGACCGTGGATGCCCCGCTCCCCCCGCTGCCGTCCCGCCACAGGGAACGGACGGGCAGGACCCGGCAGTGCCGGGACACCGGGCACGCGCACTCGGGCACGGGCAGCAGCGGGTGCCGGTTCTCCCCGAGCCGGGGGGTGAGGGATTCCCTCCGCCCGCCGCTGCCCCTGTCCCGGCCTCGGAGAGGCGGCGGCTCTCTGGGAGCACACCTGGGAGCGATGCCGCCTGCCCTCCGAGTGTGGGACAGCACAGCTGCCGTGACAACCCTCCCTCCAAAGAGCTTCCACCGAGCAATCGCCGGAAAGACCCAAATCCCAGCACTTGGGGCCCTTTCAGCGTTGCTGTGAAACACCGCGTTCAACCGGACACGTCCCTGGGAACGGTTCAGCCCCAAAATCGTGCTCCGTAAGCAGTGGACAAAATCTCCCTCCCTTTTTGGACCGAAAAGCAGTCCAGCAGCAGCAGGAGGCTGCCTTTGCCCATCCGAGCCCTGTCTCCTTTCTCCAAGCCGAAACCTCCCGGCATATTCAGGGCCTGTCTGGAGG